TCCAGCACTACAGCCCACCCATCAGATGTAGGCAATGTTTAAACCATGAGTGCTCAACATGTGGTCCTCCAGGTGTTGCGGAACTACAAACCTCATGAGGCATTGCAAGGCTGACAGTTTCAAGCATGGCTCCCAAAGGCAAAGGCATGATCAGACTTGTAGTTCCACAACAGTTGGAGGGTGACAGGGTTAAGCACCCATGGTTTAAAACTGAATATGTGCTATCAAAACAGCAGCATTAATTATATTGCTGGGACTAACCCCAGCCAAGTCGGGTCCCTTCTTCCTATAGCTCCAGGGAGATACATTCCATTTTACTCATTTAATATTTGTTCTGACCTTCATGTGCTATACATAGTTTCAGTTTACCCTGGGTTTTTTTATGTATTGTTGTTGCCTCTTGAAATAGAAGCATGACTTCCTTGTTTGGCATTCTTCTAAGATTTACTGCTAGAATACTAATGGCACAAAAAGTAGATTCATGTGCCACCTTGTGGAAAGAAAAATGATTGCAGCTCATTTTTTTTCTGTGCTCAGATTCAGTGTTTTCTCATTTACAGTACTGATAATAATTAAAGATATATAAACCTTCTACAGTGTATCTGTTTTTGCTTATGGGAATGCCAAATGGGAAAAACACAGGTTTACTATAAAGTGTAAATAGAACTCTAAGTCACTTAATTACTTTTAGGTAAAATAAACTTTAAAGGAATGTATTGAAGATAGAAACACATACCTGTTACATTTACCTAATTAACCACAGAATAGGTCTCTACGAACTCACTGAAACTATTTATGCCCCCTTTTAAAGAATTCACATACAGCAAATGGAGGTTAATAAAGATAACTTCACTGTAGGGAATGCCACCAGACACCTTGAGGTTCATTTACTAAAGCTGGAGCATGCAAAATCAGGTTCGCTTCTGCATAGAAACCAATCAGTTTCCAGGTTTTATTGCTGAAGCTTAATTGTACAAGCTGAAGTTAGAAGCTGATTGGTTTCTATGTAGAAGTGAGCCTGATTTTGCACTCTCCAGCTTTAGTAGATAAACCCCCTTGAGTCCAGGGTAGCTACTGTGAGACAAAATTAACACAAGTGGCAGGAACAAATCCATGTACTTCTCTCTGCAGTCGCTGTCATTATTTTAACACATGACTACTGCCATATTGTTTAAGGAGGTTCATATGTTCTACTGTGGCCCTAATATTAGTTGGAGCATAGTAGGGTCTTGTGCCTTTTGACCTGTCTGACCTGTCACCCAAGCCAGTCAGGTCAAATGGCAGAAGTCTAAAAACCTATTAGCTCATAACAAAAGAGCAGGGCTCTTGTGGCTTGTGAAGTCAACCCTGCTGAGCAAGTAGACCCTTTACAGAAATTAGCAAACTGGAGTTGAGACCGGGAAGCATTAGCAGCCTTAGACATGGACTGAACATCTGGAGATAACTTGGCAAAGGATAAAAGATTTATGACTTGTGATCAGGAATCCTATAAGGTCTATTTCCTGAATAACAGGATAGGGGAAAAATATTTTCTGTGGAACAGAATGTATGTATTCTATCTACTTTAGAAAAAATGGCTTCCTGGAATATAGAAAATACAGTATAGTGATATACTGTATATCCCTCCTAAACTTCATATATAAAATTTTAAATACTTTTAAAGCATCACACCTAAAATTATGTATGGCTATAGAACTGAGAAAATACCAAGCAGGCATTAAGACTGATATGTCAACGTTTTAGGCGAATACTGGGAAAGCCTTATAGACATGGAATAGAAATTTATCATCTACTTGGTTTCCTGTAGAGCAGCATATGACAACATCAGAAATAAACAGCTCATAAAGTTATGAGGAAAAAAAACTAATTTAATGTGGTAAAATTGATCATGATAGCCAGTACAGCATACAGTAGATAGTCATTTTTGCCAGAGGCTTTGACTATTAACAAACTGAGGCAGGGTGATGTTAGAGTACATTTTCTTTAATGTGGAATTTTTTTAAGTTATTAGAAAGGCAGGCATACAAACTGCAGACCGCATCTTTACTGTACAGGTGCACATATTATGGTATTTTGATGACAAAGACAGTGATGCAGGTTTTTCCAGGTTTTCAAGCAGAGAAGAAAGGAGCACATACAGTATCTCACAGAAGTGAATACACCCCTCACATTTTTGTAACTATTTTATTATACCTTTTCATGTGACAACACTGAAGAAATGACACTTTGCTACAATGTAAAAGTAGTGAGTGTACAGCTTGTATAACAGTGTAAATTTGCTGTCCCCTCAAAATAACTCAACACACAGCCATTAATGTTTAAACCACTGGCAACAAAAGTGAGTACACCCCTAAGTGAAAATGTCAAAATTGGGCCCAAAGTGTCAATATTTTGTGTGGCCACCATTATTTTCCAGCACTGCCTTAACCCTCTTAGGCATGGAGTTCACCAGAGCTTCACAGGTTGCCACTGGAGTCCTCTTCCACTCCTCCATGACCACATCACGGAGCTGGTGGATGCCAGCTTCCATTTGAGGATGCCCCACAGATGCTCAATAGGGTTTAGGTCTGGAGACATGTTTGGCCAGTTCATTACCTTTACCCTCAGCTTCTTTAGCAAGACAGTGGTCATCTTGGAGATGTGTTTGGAGTCATAATCGAGTTGGAATACTGCCCTGCAGCCCAGTCTCTGAAGGGAGGGGATCATGCTCTGCTTCAGTATGTCACAGTACATTTTGGCATTCATGGTTCCCTCAATGAACTGTAGCTCCCCAGTGCCAGCAGCACTCGTGCAACCCCAGACCATGACACTCCCACCACCATGCTTGACTGTAGGCAAGACACACTTGTTTTTGTACTCCTCACCTGGTTGCCACCACACACACTTGACACCATCTGAACCAAATAAGTTTATCTTGGTCTCATCAGATCAAAGGACATGGTTCCAGTAATCCATGTCCTTAGTCTGCTTGTCTTCTGTAAACTGTCTGTAGGCTTTCTTGTCCATCATCTTTAGAAGAGCCTTCCTTCTGGGATGACAGCTATGCAGACCAATTTGATGCAGTGTGCGGCGTATGGTGTGAGCACTGACAGGCTGGCCCCCCCACCCCTTCAACCTCTACAGCAATGCTGGAAGCACTCATACGTCTTTTTCCCAAAGGCAATCTCTGATATGACGCTGAGCACGTGCACTCAACTTCTTTGGTCAACGATGGCAAGGCATGTTCTGAGTGGAACCTTGAGTGGAGTCTTGTTAAACCGCTGTATGGTCTTGGCCACCGTGCTGCAGCTCAGTTTCAGGGTCTTGGCAATCTTCTTATAGCCTAGGCCATCTTTATGTAGAGCAACAAATCTTTTTTTCAGATCCTTAGAGAGTTCTTTGCCACGAGGTGCCATGTGAACTTCCAGTGACCAGTATGCGAGAGTGAGAGCGATAACACCAAATTTAACACACCTGCTCCCCATTCACACCCAAGACCTTGTAACACTAGCGAGTCACATGACCCCAGGGAGAGAAAAATGGCTAATTGGGCCCAATCTGGACATTTTCACTTAGGGGTGTACTCACTTTTGTTGCCAGCGGATTAGTCATTAATGTCTGTGTGTTGAGTTATTTTGAGGGGACAGCAAATGTACACTGTTATACAAGCTGTACACTCACTACTTTACATTGTAGCAAAGTGTCATTTATTTATTTTTATTTATTTATCGAGTTTATATAGCGCCAAAGGGTTTGCTCAGCGCTGTACAATAGAGGGGGGACAATACATGAAACAGTACAGTAACATCAAACAGCACACAAGGGGTAAGAGGGCCCTTCTCTTTCGAGCTTACAATCTAGGAGGGAGGGGGTAGAGGTACAGGAGGAAATGGCTGTGGGGGATGGAGTGGTAGGAGGAGGGAAGGGCAGCGGCTGTTAGGTGAGGGTGGGGTAGGCTTCCCTGAAGAGGTGGGTTTTCAGGGAGCGCCTGAAGGTGAGGAGGGAAGGTGACAGTCTGATGGATTGGGGTAGTGAGTTCCAGAGGATGGGGGGAGGACCTGGAGAAGTCTTGCAGTCGTGCGTGGGAGGAGGAGACCAGGGAGCAAGATAGAAGGAGGTCCTGTGAAGAGCGAAGGGTACGGGTAGGGTGGGTACTTGGGAATCAGGTCGGTGAGGTAGTTAGGGGCAGTGTTGTGAATGGCTTTATAGGTCAGAGTGAGCAGTTTGAATTTAATGCGTTGGGCAATGGGGAGCCAGTGGAGGGAGAGGCAGAGGGGGGTGGCAGAGGTGGAGCGGCTGGTGAGGTGGATGAGTCTGGCCGCTGAGTTCAGGATGGTCTGGAGCGGGGAGAGTTTGCACTGGGGTAGGCCGATGAGGAGGGAGTTGCAGTAGTCAAGGCGTGAGATAATCAGGGAGTGAACGAGTAGTTTAGTGGTGTCTGGGGTAAGGAAGGAGCGTATCTTGGAGATGTTGCGAAGGTGGAGCCTGCATGTATTTGTGAGTGATTTGACATGAGGTTGGAAGGAAAGGTTTGAGTCCAGAATGACGCCAAGGACCTTGGCTTGCTGGGCGGGATTGATGGTGGTGTTGTTGGTAGTGATGGAAAGGATGGGGGGGGGGGGGCACGGGAAGGGGGAAAGACGAGAAGCTCGGTTTTGGAGAGGTTGAGTTTGAGGAAATGGAGCGACATCCAGTCAGAGATGTCGTTTAGGAGGTGAGTGATGCGGGCGGAGAATGTGGGGGTGAGGTGAGGGGTGGATAGGTAGATTTGAGTCATTTCTTCAGTGTTGTCACATAAAAGATATAATAAAATATTTACAAAAATGTGAGGGGTGGACTCATTTCTGTGAGATACTGTTTAATAAATTTAGTGGGTAATCAGAAGAAAGCTATGTTTCTAGAAGTCATGGAAAAAGCAAAAGAGAACTATTTCTGAGAAAGCTGAATTTTGTGGGGAATACTTACATCCTCTTTTACAGTTGTAACTTCGTTGAGCATTTATCATTTGCTGAGAAATATGTTAACCTCCCTGGCGGTATTCCCGAGTGTAGCTCGGGGTAAAGTTTCAGTACCACAAGCGGTAACCCCGAGCTACACTTGGGCTTACCATGCGGCGCTGCTCTGGGATCCCTCGATCGGTTACATTGTCCTGCGCTACTACTGCGATGTCCCTGCTGCAGTGTCCCCGGCATTGTAATCCGGCAGATGTCGGCATCTGTCATCTGGGTTCCGTCCCCTGCGAGCGTCGGGACGTACGGGGGATGGAACGGTGGGAAATTTGAAAATGACAAAAAGTGACATTCACTAAATACACTAAAATCGCATAGTAAAACATTACTGTATCAAAGCATTTCAAATACATTTTGTCCCTAGTGCTTTGTCCTGTGCCCTGCCTGCATTTTTACTGTTCTTTCTGCCTGGAAACAGAAATGTTCATGGCCTCCAAAAAGTGTCCCTTTAGGTCAAAAGCGGTTTTAGACCAGCTAGAGAACAGCGATAGTAAATCAGAACCACTTGCAGAATTGAGTGATAATGATTCGTGGGGAAATTTCGTCATCAGACACTGAAAAGGATTTTGCGACTTTGCTCAGTGATGTGCGAACTATGTGCGCTCAATTTCAAATTTCAGTGTCTTTGGTTTGATTATCTTATTGAATTAAATGTATTATTATTATTTTTTATGATTATTTATTAAATTATAATTTATGATTTCATATTTCAATTTGTAACATACCCGGGATGTTTACTAGACTCTTGTTCGGACAGATTTCAGTGAGTTATTCCTAAAAATTACAGGCCTACAAAAAAAAAATACATATTTCCATGCAAAAAAATGTACTGCTTTCAGCACAGAAATATGGACATAATCAGACTGCTAGGGAGGTTAAACCACCATGTAAAATAAGTAAATCAATTGGTAAGAAATACTTATGCTTATAAATATTTCAGTGGACTGCATTCTGTTATTAGATAACAGTAAGACATTATTCTGTTTTAGTAGACTTTGTTAGTTGAGGAGGATACACTGTGCAGTAAAGTGCAAACATGTTGGTCTTTTACTTGTAATCTGTGTTGATATGTTTAATATTGTATGTATTTTTTTTTTACCTCTAAACCAGACAGAAATACCTCTGCCACCAGATTTGTGCTATCAAACTGCAGATCATTGGGAAATTGACCGAAACTCTTTGAGGTTTCTGAAGAAACTGGGACAAGGTCAATTTGGTGATGTTTGGGAAGGACTGTGGAATAATACTATATCAGTGGCCATTAAAACTTTAAAACCTGGTATGTAGCGCTGATATAAAGTGTTGAAAGTGTACAATAAAAAAACTTGCTTGACTTTGGTGGATGGGGTTTGGGATGGAGTACAGCCAAAGCCTGGAAAAATGTCACAAAATAAAATTGGAGTATGAAGGGAACACAAAAGGAGTCTTTCAGGCTAACTGAGCAGCAGAAACCTTGTGGTGCCTGTTTTTTTTTTTTACATAATTACATAGTTACATAGTTAGTCTGACAGAAAAAAGACAGAAGTCCATCCAGTTCAACCATTAAAAAAAAAAAAATTATAATCCTATACCCACAGTTGATCCAGATGGGGTTAGTAGCCAGTTATATTCTGTGTCTTTAGGCAAGAATCCAGGCCTTTTTTAAAGTTACTGAGCTAGCCAGAACCAACTATTGAGGGAGTCTATTCTACATTTTCACAGCTCTAACTGTGAAGAAACCTTTTCGTATTTGGAGATTAAATCTCTTTTCCTCCAGACGCAAAGAGTGCCCCCTTGTCCTCTGTGAGGACCTCAGGGTGAATAACTCTACACCACGTTCACTATATGAACCACTGATGTATTTATACATGTTGATCATATCTCCCCCTAATCTCCTCTTCTCAAGAGATAATAAATTCAGTTCCTTTAATCTTTCCTTATAGATGAGCTCCTCCATTCCTCTTATCAGTTTGGTTTCCCTTCTCTGAACTTTCTCCAGTTCCCCAATTATTCCTTCCTGATCCCCAGAGAGGCAATCTGATATTCCCTGGACCATACTATAAATGTTAGTATCCAGTTATATTCTGTGTAATATTTATTTTAAAACTGAAACTGACTTGCAAGTTTGCTTTAAATAAGGTTCAGTTAGCTGTCTTATGACAGGTTTATCAAGACTCAGAACATTAGAAAGTAACAGGTTTGTTGGATAGTAGATATGGTAAGAAGCTTCTAGTTTGCTTTCACATACTACTACATTAACTTCCATTGGCCCATTTACCCATTAAAGACCCAAAAACAACCTGGTACTCCTGAGTATGAAGAAGCACATTGGTTGCTCCTACTTCTGACTTCCACAATGCAGCCAGTGATGCCTAAGTGGTCAAGCACTAAGCCTGAGGCCTATCACATAGGGGCATGGAGGAAGGCAATTAACCCCTGTTTAAACTCTGACCTTGCAAGTGTATGGTCAATGCACATGTCACAGGATTGTCAATGATCTGATTGCAAGCTATGACAAAGATGCAGCCTGCAGTATCTTTATCAAAAGGAGAGCACAAAACACATGTTTTCCACTTGCTGGTTCTGCGTTTAATGTGTTAAACAGAAATGGATCATATTATAGAAATAATTACTTTCTTTAGAGTGGCAGCGCAGGCCACATGGAAAAGTGCAAAAGAGAAAGTGAATGTCAGAACAAACAAAAAACTGAACAAAGATAGCATAAACAACATGTGACCAAACTGTATCAAGAGGAGAGCACAAAACACATGTTGCTCACTTGTTCATTCTGAGTTTTATGTGAGCTTGTTGGTATTAGTCTCCTGAAGTCACGCTACAACTTATTGGAGCTTCCTCTAGCTGCAACCTAGTAATAGCTTCACTGGAAGGTTTATTCATTACTTGTTACACATATCCAATGAATCTGGGGGCTCAAGCAGCTGCACAGGGTGGTGGCATATTTGCAAAAGAGCACAACAGACTCTTTACTAAGCCTGCTGTCCAATAGACTTGTTAATTTGTCTATTTGAGCAAAATAAAGGATGACTATTTACACTCTGCTGCATACTTGAGTAACACCGTGTATAGCCTCTATGCTCATAGCAGCAAAACTCAAAGATAGGACACTTTTCTGTTCATATTTTGCTAGTGATTTCTTATCACTAATTCTATGCTATACAAATACCAGTGATTCAAATGTAATACTGCAATCATCCCACTATATCTAGTTGTAAGGATGCACCGATACAAGTTTTTGCAAGTAGTCGCTACCTCGCGCTGGCGATTCCTTAACCGATACTATGCGGTGTGATTTGCGTTAATGGACGCAAATTGCACCACAAAGAGTAGCATGCAATTTGCACAGGAATGCTTGTCAAAATCGCATGCGGTTTCCCACTGCTCCTGTGTGAGCCCAGGCTTGCCATAGCGAGTTCACACTGGAGGGGTGTGGGGGGAACCTCCTTGCAGGCATCCCATGCTTAGTGTCAGTGGTAAGAGAGAAGAGGAAAGCGGTGGGGATTTGAAATCCCCGTCGCTTTCTTTCCTCTCCTTGCAGCGATGACAGTTCAGGCTAGACGGCATCTGAAAGCAACTGGAGCTGCTGGCTAGCACTCCAACAGAGACCGTGTGTCAGAGAGAAGAAGCTGTGAATAGTTCAGGAAGTTGTCCTCAGACTTCAGTTCCCTTTGGCATCCTATATATCCCTAAACCCTATTCAAGTTTAATCCCTTCAATAAAACAGCAAAACCAACAATCAAGGCCTGATTTCTGTCTGTGGATGAAAGCCGTGTGGAAAATGCTAACTGACTGGCTGTGCAGGACTGTAGGGGGACCCAAATTCACCAGCAATCCCTAAGGGGGTAGTGATACATTAGAATAGGCAGTGTTCTTCTGGGTGTTCTTTTTACTCCAATCTATTATCTAGCTGCTCGACAGAAAGGAACAGTGTGGAGGAAATTGCAATAAAATCCTGAACCTATCACCCTTCATTTACAAAAAAAATAATTTTGGGTGGCAGCTTTCTTTCAGTATTGCATTATTTATAACCATATGTTGCTACATAAAGCAGATGTACAATAACTAAAGCAGTATTAAACCCAAAAACAAAAATGTAATATATTTCATCTTACCAATTATTAGATGTGGTGACTTTCTTTTTTTGGCCTTTTTCCCTATGTTTTCGCCTAGTGATCTGGCCAGTAATACACCTCCTGAATTAGAGTGCCTCCTCTCTAGATGAAGTAGCACAGAGGCAGATTTGGACAGCAGTACTGTCACTCTGGGGGGAGGGGAGTGTTAGATGGACTAGCGGAATTAAATACACGAACAAACTGAAGTCAAACTCCAGCTCACACTTTGTAATCAGTTACAGCATTTTGACTTTTGGGATAAGGGTTTTACATAAACAAACAAAATCTCATCATTGTAAGTTAAATGGTGTGTGTCTCAACTCTGTAAACTGATACATTTTGCTGGAGTGCTTCTTCTTTTGAAAAGCAACATACTAACTGGGCAGATCACCAGATAAAATTAGAAGAAAGAAAGCCTAAAAAGAAAAGATGTGCAGCCAACATATCTAAGAATTGGTAATCTGCAATATAATAAATGTTTGCTTTTAGAAGTAATATTAAAAAAAAATAGTATGCAATATTTGATATTGTATATAGTTTGAAAGGGTAGAACCCCTGCCAGGTTTAATTGCTGTCCAGAACTCCATTAGGGAGATTTCCTCACTTTCTGTTCTACTGACAACAGTGTAATCAGGCAGAAAGTGAGGGGAAATCTGCAACAGGGATACCGACAACAATACAAGCTAATAAATAAATTAAGGACACAAGGTGGTCTAATTCCAGTTTAGTAAGAGTCTATTTTCTACTGAAATGCAACCTTATATCCTGGAGCATCATGGCAGCATACTCTGGGTTGTGACTCCGCCCAACCTGATTGGACTGGTTATCTATAAGTTTTAAGCAAGGTTCCAGCACAGCATTCTGCTTTTTGTCCTCACTTGATTTGGACTGGATGGATCACGTACTACCCCTTACGGCATTCACCTCAACCAGGTTCAGCGTCCGTTGGGTGGAAGTCCCCATCCTGTACAGCCTCTAAATCAGCTCAGTGGAGGAAACCCCAGTCTGGTGGTCTCGGGTGTGCTGGTCAGCATTGCAAAGTGCTTTAAACAAGCCTGGTTCTCTGCAGCGGTTCTCCTTTGCTTCTTTCCTTTTATATGTTTCTGCTGTCTTTTTTGCTGAGCCCCGTAGTCCTTTTGTGTTTCTCTGCCCTTTTCCAAGATGGCGTCCGCACTTCAGGGCTTCTGAGCATGCTGCTTGCCAGGAGCAGGGATATTCTGGTAAAACATCAGAGACTTTAAATC